CTTTTAATTTTGGGTTGGGCTGTCACTTCTTATTCCTCTGCTCTGATAAATCATGATGGTGACTTTGGCAGACGACCAAATGAATTTCCTTACCGGCTGCTTTTCTTTATTTTCTTTTTAACTGTGGCATTCACTAAGAGCTAGCTTTTCTTGGGGAGTGGCACTTAGGTCCACCAGTTCCTGTCCTCTCTTAGGTCATGCTATTTTTTCTGATAACTTTGGGATCTGAACTTACATGTTATGTCATTTAAACACAAAATTTTTAAATCTTCAACTAATTCTACACTTCCAGAAAAGTTGCAAAAATAAAACAGAGAGTTTCCTAATTATCTGCTTTCAACTAGATTCCCCCACTGCTAACGTCTTACGTAACCATTTGTTAGGATGGTCTTGTCAAGATTAAGAAATCAGCCTTGATGCCGTCTTGCTAACTACAGCTTTACTTGAATCATCCTAGTGTTTCTGCTGGTGTCTTGTTTTTGTTCCAGGATCCAAGCTGGGATTGGGTCCCAGACCACGGTGAGTGAGTTTTTTCTCTTTAGGCTTGTCCATTTCGTGACAATTCCTCTGTCTTTCCTCATGCTACTTGACTTCGACACTTTGAAGAATATTGCTCAGATATTTTGTAGAAAGTTCCTCAGTTTTGTCTGTTTTCTCATGATTAGAATAGGTTATGCATTTTGGGCAAGAATGCCACATGTTGTCCTCAGCACTTCTTATCAGGGGCTCGTATGATGTGAGCATGATCATATGAACTGGTGATAGTAACCTTGACCACTGATCAAGGTGGTGTCTGCTGGGTTTCTCCACTGAAAGTTTACTGCCTTATCCATTGTAAATAGGAAATACTTTGGTGGAAGATACTTTGAGACTATGTAAATACTTCCTCAAACTTTTGCCCATTAATTTTAGCATCCATCAGTGGATCGTGCCTGCAACAATAGCTCTGGTGTTAAATGGTTTTCTGTTTCTCTCATTCTTCATTCTCTCATTCTTCATTCTCTCATTCTTCATTATTAATGGAATTCTGTAAAGAAAAGCTGACTGTTCTCACTAGTATCATAATGGAGTCAAGTGTATGTATTTTATTCTGTGTACTATCATTGCTTATTTTGTTGCTCATATTGTTTCAGCTTTGGCTATTACTAGTACCTTGGGTTGGCTCTTGTGTCTTTGGACAAATCTTCATCCTTTTATGAACACTTATGACACGAAATATTTCAGGCTTATCTTGTACTTTCCTTGCCCCAGCTCTGGAATCAATTCCAAGGGCCCTGGTTTCTTTTTTTTTTTTTTTTTGAGTTGGAGTCTCACTCTATCGCCCAGACTGGAGTGCAGTGGCTGCTCCTGGCCACCGCAGCCTCGACCTGCTGGGCTCCGGCGATCCTTCCGCCTCAACCTTCCAAGTAGCTGGAATTACAGGTGTGCGCTACCACGCCCAGCTCATTTTTGACTTATTGTAGAGATGAGGTCTCGCTAAGTTGCCCAGGCGGGTCTCGAACCTGCAGGCTCGGGCAATCTACTCACCTCAGCCTCCCAAAGGTGCGGGATTACAGGCTGAGCCACCGAGCCTGGCTGGCCCTGTTTTCTTTTATTGGAGAGTGATATTTAGAAACCAAGATCTGGGTGTTAGCTTTTTGGTATTGGAGTGTCATTACTAGGTCTTCTCAGCAGATAGAACAAGGAAATATATTTCTACCCATGTATATGCATACATCTGTATTTCTGTATCATTTCTGTGCGTGTCTGTGTATTAAAAGCCATTGGTTTATACCAGTTCTCTCTGATTGCCTTGTAATGCCACATGGTCTATTTTAGCCTTTCCTTCCTATATATAACTTCTTACTCCAGCATTGAGGATCCTGGCTCTCATTGCTATAGTATATTTACTTACAAAGAAGTAAATAAAGTAGTAGTTTCAGAATCACTAACTTCTACATTTACCAACTAGATTTACAGCATTTATATTTGATTCTTTTTGCCTTTAGTTTTACAGTATCCAATCTAGTTACTTGGGTCTGCTCTTTCTTCTCACGTCATTCACTGAGGTGCTACTCATTTGCCTAGTTAGGTTTATTTGTTAGCATTTGTGTTCTACGTTGGCTTTTCTGCATCTCGGTTGGTTTTCATTACATATTTGGTTTTGGAGTGTGTGAAGGGTGTGAGAAACATTGCTGGCCCTAGGAGTCAGTTACCAAAGGGTTTTACTCAGAGTGCACCAGACCTCCTCAGCCCCACTCTTCTGCTCCCATTCCCCATTTTCCCACCCACCACCAGAAGTAGCCAGTGTCTCGTTTCTGATTTATTTGTCCTGTATTTCTTTTCTGTCTCTCTCTTTCTCTCTCTTTTTTTTTAAAGAAAGCGAGTTTATTAAGAAGACAGAAAAGGGCCGGGCTTGGTGGCTCAGCCTGTAATCCCAGCACTTTGGGAGGCCAAGGTGGGTGGATTGCCTGAGCCCACAGGTTCAAGACCCACCCGGGAAACTTGGCAAGACCTCGTCTCTACAATAAATCAAAAATTGGCCAGGCGTGGTAGCGCGTGCTTGTAGTTCTGGCTACTTTTGGAAGGTTGAGGCAGAAGGATCGCCGGAGCCCAGGAGGTCGAGGCTGTAGTGGCCAGGAGCGTGCCACTGCACTCCAGTCTGGGTGACAGAGTGAGACTCCAACTCAAAAAAAAAAAAAAAGACAAAAAAGCTCCCACAGTGGGAGGAGATCCGGAAGAGGGTTACCTCATCCTGTATTTCTTTTGTTTTGTGCCACTTTAAACTCATCAGGTTTGTAGGAAATATATTGACCATAGCAGTGGGGACATGTTCACTCCCACTTCATCCTCATCAGCTACTCCTTGGGAGGGAAAGAGCCCACACTGCTGGAAACTGGGGCTTCTCTGTTTAAACCAAAAACTTGAAGTGGTTAGCACCTCAATATTTTCTGTATTTTAGCTACTTGTATATAACGTGACATTTAAAGCCTCACTGGTATTTTTTTTTTTTGAGTTGGAGTCTCACTCTGTCACCCAGACTGGAGTGCAGTGGCCGCTCCTGGCCACCACAGCCTCGACACAATCCTTCCGCCTCAGCCTTCCAAGTAGCTGGAACTACAGGCGGTTCATTTTGATTTATTGTAGAGATGAGGTCTTGCCAAGTTGCCCAGGCAAGTCTCGAACCCACGGACTCAGGCAATCCACTCACCTCAGCCTTCCAAAGGCGCAGGATTACAGGCTGAGCCACCGAGCCCGGCTTCCATTGGTATTTTACATAGCGTCTGCTGATAAAGCAGTAAGGGGCTAGGAAAAGATGAACCTTTCCTATCTTGTTCACCCTCCTTTTAACACTAAATATTTTATAATCACAAACATATTACATTATTATATATTCCATGAAAAAAAAAAGAAAGCTTCACATGTAAGGATAAAGTCCTTTCTGATTTCTGTAACCCAGTATCAAACCACTTTTATTATCCTTTCAGATTCTTTATGCATTTCTAAGCATATGTGCCTGTGGGGGAAAAATACAATTTTTTTATGAATGTGAGATTGGGTTTTCTTTTTTTTTTTTTGGTTACTGCAAAAGGTCTACTAATCTATATTCTTTTGTTCGTTCGTCCTTTTTGGTTGTTGAAACAGAGGTCTCTATCACCCAGGCTGGATTGCAGTGGTACAGTCTTGGCTCACTGCAACTTTGACCTCCTGGGCTCAAGTGATCCTTCTACTGCAGCCTCCCAAGTAGCCAGGACTACAGGCACATACCAACACGCTTGACTAATTTTTGTACTTTTTGTAGAGATGAGGTCTCACTATGTTGCCCGGGCTGGTCTTGAACTTCTAGGCTCAAGCGATTTTCCTGCCTCCGCTTCCTAAAGTGCTGGGATAACAGGTGTGAGCCACTACACCCGGCCTCTATTTTCTCCAGCTTCTGTTTGTGCTGTATAGATAGCCCTGCCTCACTGTTTTTAACATCTGCAGAGTATTTCTTGATGAAAATCCTTGCATGTGACTCCTGACACGTGTGGATATTCAGAAGTGGAATTGCTGACTGTGACCATTCTTTGCTATAGTCAGTACAGCAAACCACTCTCCCAAGTGACTGTGTCATTTGACCTTTTCCATCAGCATTGTATCAGAGCACCCATTTCTCTACCAGTCATTACTTAATATGGCCTATGTCTTAAATTCTGGGCAAGTTGAGAGTCAAAAGTAGTATTTTGTTTTAATTTGCTTTACTCTGAAATCGTGAAACTGAGAGTATTCCATGTAACTATTAGCCATGTACAATTCCTTTCTGTGATTTGCCCATTTTAACCATTTTCCTTTTCTTGTTGGTTCGTGCAAGTTCTTTGTATATGCTGGATTTGCCCATTTAACCAATATATATTGAACTTTCACTCTATACCCAAGGCACTGCTGTAGATGCTGGAGTACCAGCAAAAAACAGGGACTCTAATTTCACAGAATGTTAGACCCACGAAAATCTAGATAAATGAATAAGATTATGCAGATGTTAATACTTAAATGCTATTAAAAAATAGGGTAATGGTCCTGAGCGAGTAGGGGACCCAGTTTTCCTTTGTTGATTGTATCTCTGGTATTTGCTTTTAGGTGGGGTGGTTAGGGAAGGCTTCTCAAAGAAGGTGGGAGCTGGGATGAAGGAGAAGGACTGGCCATGGGAAATGTCCAGACAGAACAGCATGTGCCTTGGCTCTGAGGTGGGCCTGTGATGAAGAGGGCAGGTCACATCACACAGATGGACACAGTAGACTCCTCAACACAAGTGCTTGTCAGAGACACAGCTCACATGCATTGCTCTCAGGAGTGGACTTGACTCTGAAAGCCGGGGTTGCAGGAGGAGGGTTTCACCAGCTCCTCTTTCTTCCCTACCCAAACCAGGCTACCCAAAGGGGCTTCACTCCATGGGGTTCGCACATCAAGACTTGGTCATTGGGTTTTGTGGTGGTTCCAAGGCATAGGCCTTTTCTTTAATAAAGGAAAATTTTCTGTTTCAGATTACCTAGGAACAGTACGATTTGGGGTTATCACAAATAAACATCTTGCGAAACTGGTATCCTTAGTACACTCTGGAAGTGTGTATTTACATAGACATTTCAACACATCACTTGTAAGTATTTTGAAATCACATTTATATTAGTGCAGTGGTTCTTAACCTTGTTTAGGTCAGACTCCTTTGAGAATTGGATAAAATTTATGGTCACTATCTCTAGGAAAGTACTTGTGATTTTAAATGCAAATGGAGAGTTCTTACACCCCAACCCTAGAACCCATTCCCAGGTGAAGAACTTATGCATTAGAGGGCTCTTGTTTAACTTCTGGAAGTTCTGTGTTTGTATTCTTTGATTTTGGCAGAACCTTGTTTTTCTTCTTGGATGAAACTGCAGAGTCATTCTGTTGGAGACTTGCTACGATGGGCCCATGTGCTCAGAGGTTAAGCTTTCATTGGGCGGTGTTCTCTGTTCACTTGTTCCTTGTATGTAATGTGGCATGCTTTTCTTCTTAGCTGATGGAATAGATTTTTGAAGTTCTTGTCAAGTCACAGTGAGAAGTTGATGGCTTCTCACCCCAGAAAGCTATGGGTTTCCTTTATTGCCATTGTTCCTTGATTTCATTTGCTTTTTGGTGGAATAGTCTCAACTCAGCTATTTCTGAGCTTTGACCTGTGTTCTGCTCAGTCCTGCGCTTCGACACTATTCATTGTAACTTCCTTGGTCATGTCACTGAGAGTTTTTCTTAAGTGTTCTCTGTCTCTAATATCATTGACAGTGTCAGTGACTTAACAGTTTCTCTATACCCAGTGTACCCAACCCTTTAAAGCTTGTGCTCTCCTTGGCACAACGTGTATGTCTTGTGCCTGTGAAGGGGCTGTTAAGCCCTCCAGGGGTGCCCCCTCGCTTGCCAGCCACCCCAGCTTCTGCATCTCTCTAGCAGCTCAGAGGTTGTGCTTTACATCTTGCAGTTTATATTCCAAAAGGCAAATGTATTTTCATGTTTTCCAAACAGAAATGTCTGCTTATGGTGTTTGAGTGTGTTTTTTCAAACTGCCACCACTCCATTTGGAGAATCACTCCTGCGATGGTTTCTCTGTTGCTCACCTCCATCCTGTGCTCGTCTCACTGCTTTTGACATGATCTGCTTTTGCTGTCTATCATTTTTCTACATCCTTCATTTTAGCATGTTGTACAACCTACATATATTTATTTGTAGTAAAGGGTACTGAGGAAGAAGCTTAAAGTAAATAGAGAACAAAGGTATGAGATAACACTGAAAAATATATTAGGTTTACTGCTTTGATTGGATAGTTTTTTGTGGACTTTTTTTAGAGTCAGAGTTTCACTCTGTCACCCAGGCTGGAGTGCAGTGGCACTCATCACCACGCCCAGCTAATTTTTTGATGTATTGTGGAGACAAGGTCTCACCAGTTTGCCCAGGCTGGTTTCAAACCCCTGTGCTTAGGCAATCCTCTCGCCTTTGCCTCCCAAAGTACTGGGATTACAGGTGCAAGCCACCACGCCCGACTTGACTGGGTAGTTTTTAAGGTTGGTTGCTTTGTTTAGCAGAATTCCTTTCATCAAATGAAATATAATTGAGATACCAGTATCTAAAAAAAAAGAAAAAAATACAAGCAGTGGCATCTTTTTATGAGGTAGTTTAAATCTCCATTTTTGGGGGGATATCAGATATCTTATTCTGTGAAACCCTCCAATGCACCTCTTTGATAGTTCTGTTTGAAACCAGTGGTTTATATCATTAGAATTTCAAAATTAATTTTATGTTCACATACATTGGTTTTCTATAGAAAAACAAAGCAAAAAATAAAGTGTCTCCCCTCCTTCCTTTATACACATGAAGTGTGATCCATGGCTCTGTACAGGTTTAGATCATTTGTTGATTCATTGAGGTATTTTCCCTGCTCTGTGCCAGGTTTTCATCTTGTCACCGGGGATGCAGGTGAATAAAACAGATATGGCCTCTGCTGTGAGGCTCTGCTTTGCCCTTGTGGGGCAGCATTTGAGGTACCAAGGTAAAAATCTTAATGGCCCTTTACTTCATAATCTCTGTTCCCTTAGATAGGGCCTGGTCCTTTTATAAACACCCAGTAACACTGAATAGTTCTCCTCGGACAGGATGATAGAAATTGATTTTGCCACCAACAATAACAGTCAGTGAGAATTATTTGTTGATGAATGAGTCTTCTGAAGGCAAAAAGATATGAATCACATAATATGAAAGTCACTTCCTGCTTTTCAACCACTTGTGAGGACATGCTCTATCTGGAGAGGTAGGGCCCCAGGGTTGGAAGGCCGAGGTGGGAGGATCACCAAGCCCAGCAGGTTGAGGCTGTTGTGGCTGTGAGCGTGCCACTGCACTCCAGCCTGGGTGACAGAGTGAGACTCCCACTTGCAGCCTCATTTTCTCACCTGTGCAGTGGTAGGGTTGATCAGGCCTCTTAAGGACAGTGTTGATGTGCTTTGAACCGCCCTGTCTCGCTCAGCTTCTCTTTATCTTCTGTGCATTTGTCCTTCCCAGGTCTTTCCCAGGGAGGCCGTGAACTACACAGCCGAGAACATCTATACGTGGGCCTTGGACAACCGGGAGACACTCTTGCGATGGCTGCGACCACACGGAGGCAAGAGTCTCCTGTTGAATAACGAACTGAAGAAAGGACCAGCACTTTTTTTGTTCATACCTTTTAATCCCTTAGCTGAAAGTCATCCTTTAATAGATGAGGTAAGAATTGTGATGTTAAAGATGCCTCCTAAGGAGTAGGATAACCTCACCACCCTGCACATCTCTCATCCCACACTAAGTCATGGACTCCCGCAGCTGAGTGGCTGCCTGGAGTGGCAGCTGCGTTTCTGTGGCAGTGTTTTTTTCCCTCTGAATGGGCAGGAGAAGGGGGCCTGCCTAGAACAGAGACTGCTGCAGCCTCTCTGGCTATGTTTATTGACAACCGCTTGGGTCTGGGCTAAGTAGGAGGAGACAGGGAGCTAAATCATGCCTCTCCAAAGAAGGACCAAATACTCCTGTTTCTTTTTTTTTTTTTTTGAGTTGGAGTCTCACTCTGTCACCCAGACTGGAGTGCGGTGGCTGCTCCCGGCCACTGCAGCCTCGACCCGCTGGGCTCCGGTGATCCTTCCACCTCAGCCTTCCGAGTAGCCGGAATTTCAGGCGTGTGCTACCACGCCCAGCTGATTTTTTTATTTATTGTAGACATGAGGTCTTGCCAAGTCCCCCAGGCGGGTCTCGAACCCGCGGGCTCAGGCAATCCGCTCACCTTGGCCTCCCAGAGTGCTGAGATTACAGGCTGAGCCACCGAGCCCGACCAATACTCCTGTTTCTGAGGTGACTGATGTTGAGCTTCTTAGCTGGACAGTGGGATGGGGGTTGAGCAGGAGCCAGACAGGGTTTAGTGTGGCCTAGGAGATGCCATTGTCACGGGAGGGTTGGCCATTCTGCTTGTCCTGGCCATTCTCAAGGCAGCAGAAAAGAGGAGCAGCAGCTGTGACCTTGGGATGCCTTGTTTTTCTTAACTGTTCCTGTCGTGAGAAGTCAGAGTGGTTTTCAGAGACAGCCGTCAGGATCTGCTCCTCCCTCCTGCCTTTTCGACTGCTCTTCTGCAGCGTTCACTCTTCAGGAGTGAGTCGATTTTCTGTGTGGAGAGTTTGGAGGCACTTAGAGCAGTAACAATAAGCAGAGACAGCCTGGGATTACTAATTTTGATTTACTGAGAGTTTTATTTTTCCTCTCCCCTAAGGATTCCTTAATTGGTCAAAGCCAATTTCAGATAGTCAGTGTCCTGTTGACCAGGCTAAGCAGACACTGTCTCTCCCTAAGCCCCTAAGCACTGGCCTGGTCGTCTGCCTGAAGGGACAGGGAGGCAGGGCTTCCTGCTCAGCCAGACCCTCACTTGGCTGCTCTGGAGTCTCTCGGTTAAAAGTTATTATTCCCGCTGGGGAGTATCCTGAATGAACACTGCTGTCCTGGCTTAGAGGAGGAAAACAGAAGAGAGAAATGAAATTGCTTTGTTCTCCTCTGATTAGGGAGGACTTAAAGTAATAAAACTTCATTTATTTAGAAAATTTTCACTGCATGGTTATTTTATGAACTGAGACAGTCTTTCAAATGACTAGGCCTTTACTGTATCTAATTTTAGAGTCTTCAAGCTTTGTAGGAAATGTAGGGTTTTCAACCAAGTCGGTGCCTATGGTTGTGGATGTTTACTTTTTTTTTTTTTGAGTCAGAATTTCACTCTGTTGCCAAGACTGGAGTACAGTGGCACACTCATGGCCACTGCAGCCTAGATCTGCTAGATTCAGGTGATTCTTCTGCCTCAGCTTTCAAATTAGCTGGAACCCCAGGTGTGTGCCACCTTGCCTGGCTAATTTTTTTTTTTTTTTAACACAGAGACAAGGTTGCTCTGGCTGATCTCAAACCCCTGAGCTCAGGAAGTCCTCTTGCCTCTGCTTCCCCAAGTGCTGGGATTACAGGCATGAGCCACTGTACTTTAACTTTACTTTCCTTTTACTTTAACTTTAAACTTTCCTTCTGGAGAGTTCTCTCTGTCTGCTTTGGGCATGTCAGGGTCCTAGATGGGGTGGTATTTTGTGCCAAAAGTCTATATCGTCTGTCCAGAGGATGTGGTTGGATTTAAGCATCTGGCGGAAGGACACTTTCTTTCTAGAGCCGCCTGTTCTTGGATGAGTGTCTCTCCTGCTCCCCTACTCCTTCACCTGTTACAGGCCTTCATTTTATCGTTGTTTTACTTGGGACTCCCAGTGTCCCTGTGAGTGAATTCCTAACCTCAGCATGCAATTGAGATAGCTGAAAACCAGATGGCATCTCATGGTAATGCAGGTTACTTAGGCAAGCTAACTGTCTGTTCTGCACATTTCCTTCTCCACTTCAGGTCAGTTGGAAAATGTCTATTGAGCACTGTACAAGGGATACCCAGAGGCAAAAAGATGGGCAAGACACAGCCCTGTCTCATGGTCTTAGAGGCTTGTTCAAGGAGAATGAGAGCGTGCTTATGATTCAAGGCAGAGGAAGATCAGGCCCAGGGTCGGGAAGAGGGTACTAGCCCAGAAGGTGCGGGGGCGGGCGTGGCTGGAGGTGTTTGAGGTAACCTTTCAGAGACAGCCAGGACCTTGGTGGACTGAGAAAAACTTAAGGAAAGGACTGGCCTGAGCAAGGCACAAGGGAGGGAGAGTTGCTCTGGGTTTAGGTATTAGGAGGGAAAGCATACAGGCTTTGTGGTCTGCAGGAAGGACTGACTGGAGAAGATCCTGTAAAAGCCTTTGGGGGTGGAGTGGCTTGAGTGCTTCTCGGAGGATTTCAAGATTCATTGTGGCCATCAAAGTCTCATTGACAAAGAAAAGAGATGTGACCAGAGTTGTTTTACCATTAAGAAAGTTTTCAGTCGGGCTTGGTGGCTCAGCCTGCAATCCCGTGCATTTGGGAGGCTGAGGTGAGTGGACTGCCTGAACCCGCGGGTTCGAGACCCGCCTGGGCAACTTGGCGAGACCTCATCTCTACAATAAATTAAAAAATTAGCCGGGCGTGGTAGCGTGTGCCTGTAGTTCCAGCTACTTGGAAGGCTGAGGCGGAAGGATCGCCAGAGCCCAGCAGGTCAAGGCTACGGTGGCCAGGAGCGGCTACTGCACTCCAGTCTGGGCAACAGAGTGAAACTCCAACTAAAAAAAAAAAAGAAAAGAAAAGAAAGTTTTCCTGGCAGAAAAGTGAGAAGTAGTAAGAAGCCGAATTTGGGTTGGGGGGGGATGGAAAGTGGGAAATTGTGAAACAGGGACCAGAGATGAAGAAGCGTTGGGCATTTGGGTGAGGTGGGAAGGATGAATGTTACATGTATTGAAGCTGAACCATAAATGCATTAGCCTTTGACTATGAAAGGCAGCTTCATTTTTCCACTACCACCTTAGGCCTGATTTTAGGCAGAATTGAGAATGCTTACATTATCGAGAAAAGTCATCTTAGAGTCAGGGTAATAAAGGTGGAGGGTATGCCAAGCAAGGGTGTGGGATAGTTGTTGCAGAACATGTATCACACAATTTGTTAAATACTCAGCCTCTGCAAGCAAAGAGTTTTGTGACTGTCTTCTGCTTTAAAAGCATTTGAGACATCCACAGTGAATGAGTCAGGTAAGCCGAAGGCATGGCTATCATGTCCGGATGCATTTTTCTAATTCAAGAAAATAGAAGGAAATATCTACGGTGCAAACATTTAAAGTTAATTTGCCAAGTTTTCTTTAATTGTTCACATGAAATTAAACATGACGTCAAGTGAGACACATAACATAATGTAGTAGGAGTTGTGTTTTTGAGACTGCCTATTATGTAAAAGGAGTAGAAACATAAAAATCAGCTCATGGAGACAAATAATAATGCCTCACTCTTCAAGAGCATTGCTGTATGCAGAATGTTTTCTTCAGTTAAAGTTATTCTTTACATGGCTGCTTTGTTTTTAAGAGTTACTTAGAATAAAGGAAATGGATTTGCCTTTATTTATTTATTTATTTATTTGAGTTAGAGTCTCACTCTGTCACCCAGACTGAAGTTCAGTGGCCGCTCCCGGCCACCACAGTCTCGACCTGCTGGGCTCAGGCAATCCTTCCACCTCAGCCTTCCAGTAGCTGGAACCACAGGCGCACACCACCATACCTGGCTCATTTTTTTATTTATTGTAGAGATGAGGTCTTGCTAAGTTGCCTGGGCTGATCTCAAACCCCTGTGCTCTGGCCATCTGCTCACCTCCACCTCCCCAAGTGCATGCGCCACCACGCCTGGCAAGGAGATGGATCTTCTAGAAATTTATTTTCTTTAATATAGTCAGTTTTCTTTTACTAGGATTTTTGGAAAAGATGGCAGTAAACCTTGACGTCCTATGGAAATTTTTTGTGGGGATGGGTGGCGGTAGTTGTCTGCTGTTGTGTCTTTGAATATAAAGCAGTCCCTAGATGGGGCCACCAGGCAACTGGTCTCTTCATGGACTGTAGAGGCTTATATGGTACCATGTACTGGCAGGGCCTTACCCAGAAAGGATGGAGATGTTTTTGTGTGGGGGAATAAAACAAAACACTGGCTTATTATCTAAAGTGACTTTTTTATGCTAAGAACTATTCAAACAATATACTTTTCTGTGCAGATACATATGTTTTGAATTAACTGTCCATAAGTATTATGTTATAAAACTTTTTAAAACTGGAAATATACTCAAATGGTTTTACACACACACACACGCTAATGAAACAAAATCCTGAGTGACAACTGATGAGATTTGCTTCCACTTTAACACACCATTCTTCTGTTTTAGAGAGTAAATGCCTTTGTACTGTAACATACTTGTCTTTCTCATGAAATTAGGGTGGGAGGTGGGTAATGAAAGATGCTCAGTTTGGATGTGGAAGAGTCTTGGAATAAAATGTAAATCTAAATTGCTAATATTAACTTGAGGGTAAATGGTAAATCTCACTAAGAAAGGGGATTGTGTACATTACCAAAGATACCAGTCACTCATCAGGTGTTCACTGAGCATCATGTGTTACGTGCCTGGCTCTGGGGATGGCAGGAGAGACCCGATATGGGCCCTGCCTATGAGAAATCTGTAAGCTTATGGGAAAGAGGATGTCTTGAGAGAAGCTTGTAAGACTGTGGGAAGGACTTTGGGGACACTGGGGGTGCAGAAACTACTCTTCCTGCGGTGCAGGTGGGAGCAGCTTTACTGAAGCAGCCATCCTGCTGCTGAGCCATGGGAACAGGTGGAGGAAGCCTGTCCTGGGCCAGGCTTTTGAAGACTTGGTCTTGTGAGAGGGCGTGGTCAGGTCTGAAGAGGGTTGGGTGGGACTAGAGAGGCAAATGACCTGATTGGTTAGAGGTTTCACTCTTCAGGTAATGTGGAGTCATCAAGTATCATCTGACTGAGGAGTGTCTTGCTTCCAGTTATATTTTAGAAGGTGTGTAGTCATTCCCCACTGCCGTATCCATGGGGGATATGTTGCAAGACCCCAGGGGATACCTGAAACCATGGATGGTACAGAGTGAACCCTGTGGCTACTGCACATGAATTTCTTTTTCCTTCTCACAATTTCAGACAGAAGATTCGTCTTTATCATAGATCTTAGCCATCTCAGCTTGTGAGTCTTTTTCTTTCCCTATTAATTTGAGAATCTTTTCACTTAAGGAACACTTTTTGGCTTCTCTTTGGCACATCTGAATTGCCAGCATCACCACCCTTGCATGTTTGGGCCCATATTATAAAATAAGTGTTACTTGAACATAAGCACTGCAATACCAAGACAGTCCATGTGATAACCAAAACGACTACTAAGTGACTTACAGGCGGGTAGTGTTTGTAGTATGGACACACTAGACAAAGGGATGAATCACGTCCCAGGCAGGATGGTGAGAGGTTTCCTCACGTGTCTCAGAGTGGCGTGCCATTTAAGACTTATGTGTATTTCTGGGATTTTTCATTTAATATTTTTGGGCTGCAGTTCACCATGGGAAACTGAAACTACACAAATTGAAACCTTGGCAGGGGTGAGGGTACTACTGTAAGGAGGTGGCAGTGTGGAGGCAAGAAGAGAGTGGTGGTCTGTGGCAATCTGAATTGAGGCCACAGTCGTGGAAGTGGAAAGGAGGGGCCTGCTAAGCCTCGCTGAAGTCAAAGCTGGCTGGATTTGAGACTTTGATGCTGTGGAGGGAGAAGTTGAGGGCCAACAGAGTGTCTAGCCTTCTCAGAGTGGTCGGTGTATGGAAAGGTCAGTTGAGGGAGTGTGGTTTGGAACAGGTTGGATTGATAGCCTACTGTGAGGCATGTATTTATTTGGAAGCACATGCTATAAAATAAAATAGTGAGATCCACTCATTAGGTGTTGGGGAAGTTTTTAAAGACTTCCTAGTTAAGGCTGGTCTCAGTGGCTCAGCCTGTAATCCCAGTACTTTGGGAGACTGAGATGAGTGTATTGCCTGAGCCCACAGGTTCAAGACCCACCCAGGCAACTTGGCAAGACCTCATCTCTACAATAAATAAAAACTTAGCCGGGTGTGGTAGCACATGCCTGTAGTTCCTCCTACTTGGAAGGCTGAGGCAGAAGGATCACTGGAGCCCAGCTGGTCAATGCTGGGGTGGCCATGAGCATACCACTGCACTCCAGCCTGGAAGAGAGAGTGAGAATCCAATTAAAAAAAAAAAAAAGACAGGGAGTTAAGAGACTTAAGTTCTGTTCCCAGTGCTCTGACATCCTGGAATGAGTTGTGTCCCCTCTTCAGGCTTCATTTTTCTCGTATGGTAGGCTAGGATATCTCTAAGACTACTTCTGTTTCTGGAAAATTGACTGCTTATTTAAGAGAGGGACATGGTAGGAAAAATTATCCGAGCCTCTTTATTGGTAGGTTTGGTGTGCCCATTTCCTCTGAGGTGGTCCTTCTGGCCCGGCCTCTTGCAGTGACTTAGATAGGGGTACTCTCCAGGCCGACAATGGTGGGTTTCTCCCACAGTTATCCTCAATCCCTCACCAACTCCACCCTTTGTTTCAGATCACCGAAGTGGCCTTGGAGTATAACAACTGTCACAGGGACCAGGTGGTGGAGCGCCTCCTTCAGCACCTGCGACGGGTGGATGCACCAGTGCCAGAATCTCTGGCACTGGGACTGCCAGCACAGCTGCCAGACCCGCCGCTGATAACAGCATCCCCCTGCTGCAACACTGTGATGCTGCCCCAGTGGCACTCCTTCTCCAGAACACACATCTGCGAGTTGTGTGTCAACCAGACTGCCGGGGGCATCAGGCCGAGCTCAGTCAGCATGCCACAGTGCAACTTTTTTGAGATGGCAGCAGCTCTGGATTCTTTCTACCTCAAGGAGCAGACCTTCTATCATGTGACATCAGACAGTATAGAATGCAGCAATTTTTTAACTTCCTATAGCCCTTTCAGCTACTATACTGCATGTTGCAGGACCATAAGCCAGGGCATGGCGGGCTTCATTGATTCGGAGCGAGATGGCTTGGAAGCGCCGACCATTGCGTTTTCTTCCCTTGAGAAGAGATGTGAGGTTGATGCCCCGAGCTCTGTTCCTCACATTGAGGAGACCAGGTATCTCTTTCCAGAAGTGGACATGACTAGTACAAACTTCACAGGCCTGAGCTGCAGAACCAACAAGACCCTGAACATCTACCTTTTGGATTCAAATTTATTTTGGTTATATGCAGAGAGACTGGGTGCTTCGAGCTCCACTGAGGTGAAAGAATTTGCTGCCATTGTTGATGTCAAAGAAGAGTCTCACTATATCTTGGATCCAAAACAAGCTCTTATGAAGTTCACCCTAGGTACTGGAGGCGATTTACTTACCCCGGCATAAGAAGTTGTATGGTTGTGGGGATGATGTCAGCCCTGTAGCTCATTTTAAATCTTTAAACCACAAGTAGTCATAATTTTGAAAGAAGCTAATTTTGTCTATTAAGTGGAAGAGAACTTTTACCTTCAAGTTTTGGATAAGTTTGTCAATTTAGCCCATTGGCGGGCTAGAGTCCAACTGTCTAGATGGGCAGTTCCTGTCACATTTCTGGGGTGGAGCCAGCTACAGTTGGTGAGGACCTGGCTACTAGATGGGGCAGGGAGGGGCAGAGGCAAGAGCAGTTCTGGTGGGACGTCATAGGACTGGGGAGTGCAAGCCATGATGCAGCTTCATCTTCAAGGAGCTGACACAGAGCAGTAAAGAGATGGAACTGCCTTGCCTCCCTTTTTGTCTCAGGTTTAAATGGACAGGTATCGAGACCACCGCACATAATTTGTTCTGCTGATTTATAATGTGTTGAGGAATGCTGCTGTGACCTGGAGTGCCTAAATTGAAACAAGCAAGTATCAGATGCAGTAAACAAGTATCACTTGCAAACCAACAGAATCTCCTTTCTAGGGGATGAGGTTCCATGATGGGAAAGCAACCAGAGCTTGCCTGGGGGTGGCAGTAGCAGTGAACTGACCCCTACTGTCCAGTTTCCAGGATTTCACTGACTTGTTGGACATACACACAAGGAAGTGAGAATTCAAAAGCCATGTTAGTTCAGGCTCATTGGAAACATGAGGAAGGGTCAGTGTTTGCCAAAGGGAGAAAGGAGGAATTTGGTGGGGAAGGAGGCTTTTTATTTCAGGTTTTACAAAGTATGAAATTAAGAGTTAACACAGAGCTCCTAAATACTAGTCCTTTTAGCCAGCCTCTTAGATCCAGGTGAAGAAAGTTGTTTCTTACATGTTTGAAAAGGCTTACATAAATATTGATTTTTCTGTACCAAATTACATATTATAATCCCAAGGGCTCCTTGGTGTTTGAAGAAATCCTGCCACCAGTCACTGTTTGAAGGGCATACTCTATTGATAACATAAATTACTCTCAATTCATGTTTTCTAAAATTATTTTGGTATGAAGCATGTTTTTTGTTTATTTATGGGAAACACAGATGCCAGAGAAGTGGGGTCAGTATTCCCATAAGCATGTTTTTTTTTAAGTAAGTGTACTGGATTTTCCTGAATTTCTGTTCAGTATTACTCAAGTGTTTGATGAGTTCATAGTGTGTTCACTTTGAATTTAAGGGTAACTGAAAGAAGCCTTCTTCAGATTTCTTTCATCTTCTATATCTACTCTGAAATGTCTAGCTGTTCTTTGTCCTGGAGTTGGTGACAGAATTTTTAGCAGTTCTTGTAAAAAGAAAATCTGTATCATTGTGGGTTTAGAAAGTCAACTCACAAGTCAGCTATCTCTAGGGCAGTTTCAGAATTTAGTCTTCATTCAGATTAGGAAATAGGTTTCAAGAGCATAGCCAACTAAGTGTTATTCAGATGCTGATCACAAATTCTCTTTCGTATTCACTTGACATTCTTCAATTCCTTCTCCATTCTGCACATTTCATTGTCTATTGAGACCTCAAAATGGAAGGAGTTAGAAGAAAGAAAAAGAAGTGAAACTAGCCAGGCGTGGTGGCTCACACCTGTAGTCCCAGCTACTCAGAAGGCTGAGGTGGGAGGATTGCTTGAGCCCGGGAGTTGGAGGCTGCAATGAGCTATGATCACACCACTGCACTCCAGCCTGTCTCTAAAAAAATAAAAGAAGTGAGTCGGGCTCGGTGGCTCAACCTGTAATCCCGCGCCTTTGGGAGGCTGAGGTGAGTGGATTGCCTGAGCCCGCGGGTTCGAGACCCACCTGGGCAGCGAGACCTCATCTCTACAATAAATCAAAAAATCAGCCGGGTGTGGTATCGCATGCCTGTAAT